ACTAATGGTCTGAATTGGTATTTTATCGGTGTGTAGGTACAAGGAACCCTATTGGTATATACCACTTTAATATTTATTTTCAAAATTCGCCAATAGGTAGGCAACCCATGCATACCTCTCGCCTCTGTAGCACAATACATAGGCCTATAAAGGTGGAATGCCTTGAGCTGCCAAGTAAGGATTCCTTACTAAGGCAAAATTACTGGCCATGGAAACGCCTGGCGTTTTGGAATTTTTAAAGGGGCACAGGTCGTCCTGTGGCCCACTCTGCGAAAAGTAAGCAGTGGGCCCCACTACTTACTTTTAGCAGAAGCTATTTATAAAATTTATAATTAAATGTTAAACAGCACTATTTTTGAGAAATTATTTATCCATCAAAACAAGTAATTTATAACCTTAAAGACGTCTAAAATGGATAGTGGGGACCAATTCAAACCAATAGCGGTACCTATGGAAAATCCAAATAGCTCTATTGGGAATTACCAATAAAATATATCTATAATATATCTATTGGGAATTACCAATAAAATACGATTAGTCTCTATCGGTCTGTATTGGGATTTTCCAGCGGTGTCGCTATTGGTTTGAATTGGTAATTCATGGTACAGATACCACTATTGAGACCAATTCAAACCAATAGAGCTGCCGCTGGAAAATCCCAATAGCTTTTCTATTGGTCTTTATGGGTGATTTTTAACAGGGATACTTTTTCTACGACAAATACTTATTATTATCTTAAAATGATTTAAATAAAAAATTTGTATAGAGCGCCATCTATGAAACAACAGGGGAAACTGTCAAATGTCAAATTTTTACATTTTATAAACACAATTATAAAGGTTATAAATCGAAATGTATATTGAAAATTTACAGTTTTTCACAGTGAAAGTAAAGTAAATGTTTTATGAGGACTTTAAAGTAGAGTCCGTGCCCGAATTTAAGTTATAGTTTATTGCCGGCGAAATTAAAAAGTCATTGTGTTCATATAAACTTTTCAAATATTGGCGTTGAGAAACTATTTAATATTTTTGTATTTTTGTATTGAGATAATAAAATAATTTTCACATTTAGTATTATTTTACAATAATGGCACTTTATTTTAACTATTGTATGACAACTGTTAACTAACTTAAAACTAACTTCAGCGCGTGACTAAAAACCTTTTGCTAACTTCAGCCCGTGACTAAAGCGCCGTAAAGCCACAACTTGTCAATGTGTATTTAAAAGGTCACTTAGTGTCATGGAAACATGTACGATAAAGGGCGTTTTTAAATGTGGGAGTAGAAAACTAACTAAACAACTGGGTTGCCTACTTCGCAACGTCACAAATTTGAATTTGTGTGGTTATGTTAGACGTTATTTTAAATAATAATCTTAGCTTTATTTACCGATCAGCCGCTATGGATTTTAAGGTAAATATTAAAATATAACGGTTTAAGCCTGATTTAAAGATTGCCTTCCTTACTTCCTCCCGTAAAAGTAAAACAATACCAAAACCGTAGTGCTGTTTATAGATTCCCGTACGGATAGTAGTAGTTTATATGCACTACATAAGCGCTTCTCTGCCCAAGCGATTTCTCCTACCACTGTTGTCATTTTTGGCCGCTGTACCGCAACGCCAAATTAAAATTATGAAAACCATAATTTTAAATGGTAAAATAAAAATTCAACACAAATAAATAACAGAATAACAATTAAACAGAATAATAATTCAGTAAAATAAATTTATAAATAGCACAAGAAAAACTCAATTTACAATAATGAAAATGAATCAAAACATTTTAAAGCATAAAAAGAACTCGCCCACAAAATAGATGTTTAAATAAAAATTCGTAAAATAAATTTACGACAGCAGGATAAAAGAACCTTAGCATGCAATTAAAAATACCTTTATCTTAATAAAAATTGGTAGAATTTAAATAAGTCAAATGATAAATTATCTAAAGAAAAATAATCTTCCATTAAAAATATTTTTGGACGTATTAAATTTTAATTTCCCACAGAAAAATTGTTCAAAACTTTAATACCTTGCAGAGAAATGCATTATTTTTTCAATGTAGAATAAAAATGAATTAAAATTATGTTAACGATAAAAATAATTCAATTTCGTGCCTATACTTTACCATGTATTATGATTTTTTTATGTCTAGACATAATTTAAAATCCATTTTTGTGCTCCTTGCATAATAAAAATTGACTTGTCGTAGTGTATTAATAATTTTTATTCTTCTTGGCCATTTTTATTTTACTTTGAATTTTTCTGGTATTAAAACGTAAAACGGCACGCCATATTTATGTTTTAAAAACTTGACAAAGCTTTAATTTAGGCCGAATTATCACACATCTTAAACAGTTGTTATGAAAACAAAATAAACAAGGCATCTGCTGCTGGCTGATGGCTGATGGTGACAGAAGTATTTCCTGACAGTGTCAAACCATTAAAAAATTACATCACAAAATGTAACTTATTTTTGACACGTTAACCTTTCAGTAGTCGCGCTATTTTTTTTTCAAGTATAGTCGCCCCGGTCTGTAACACCGGGTTGTTTTTTTATAGGTTTTGCGATTTTTTTTATAAATATTTACTATCAGTGAAGTTTTATGGGTAAAAAGGTACATATAGGTACAAAAAAGTGATAAGAAAAAATATATATTTTAGAAAATACAGGCAAAAAACAAAAATAAAATTCATATAAAAAAGGTCTTTAAACTTTTAACATACAAATAAAATTGCAACTTAAAAAAGTTAAAATAAAAAAAATATTATTTTTTGGTCCTTATTTAATACGGTAGTGAAAGAAAAATTGAAAAATTTAACTTCGAAAGGACTTTGCTTGCAAGATTGGCAAATGCCTATTATGTGCTCTAATTTATTTTTGTTTTTTGAATATATTTTCTAAAATATATATTTTTTCTTATCACTTTTGTGTACCTATATGTACCTTTTTACCCATAAAACTTCACTGATAGTAAATATTTATAAAAAAAAATCGCAAAACCTATAAAAAAAAACATGTAGGTATTACGTTTAAAACACACAAATCCAGTTTTTCTATATTTTTTCCAATTGCAATACACTGAAAAAACAAATCTGTTTTATCAACCAATACATTTTTTGTTGCAATTGTTTTTGTTGGTCCCAATAAAAAGTTTGTTAACCCAAGTAAAGTGTTTAATACATTAGTATTTGCAACAAAAATGAATTTGTTGGAAAGAATTAGTTTACCCTACTGACAATATGCGTCGCCGCTAATAGGTATCCTTAGTAAACATAACAAATATGTTTTTGTTGTCAATTTTCGCCCAAAATTGACATGATGTGACATTGAAATTTATTTTATAAAGTTGACCGACTTGGTGCCATGGTTAAAGTTAAGTCTTGGTGTCATAGTGATTGAATAATAAAAAAATAATTTGTCACTGTCAAAAAATTTTTGTGCAAATGCTAGAGGAAGCAGGTTCGCGTTAATTAATTTTTGTGCATTGGGCGTTATGGATGAAGAAGTAAACCAAATATTAACCGAGAGGGGATTTTCTTCATTAGAAAATACTTTTAAAGGTACCAAAATAATTTTTGTTAAAAAAAATCAAACAATATTAACCTATACCTACACAATATTGTTAATGCAACTCTTTTTATTAATTAGTATTACATACTGAAAGAGGTTCTTTAACAATATTGTGTAGGCATAGGTTAATATTGTTCTTTTAACAAAAATTTTTTTTGGTTATTAAAAGAACTACCAAATGTTATAACAACAAAGCAACAATGTTGTAGTTACTCATTACCATAGTAACATATTATGTCTCAACAAAAAAAATTTGTTGTTGTAACAAAGATTTTAGTTGAGGCTATAGCTACAAATAAAATTTGTTGGCGCAACTTTTTTTTAGTTGCTTAAACAAATTATTTTTTTCAGTGTAGGCACATCTACCAGGGGTAATATTTTCTTGAGATTTTTGAAGTACAATTTCACAAAATTCTTGAAGTGAAAATTTCAAACTTTGTGGAATTTCGGTCAAAGCAGCACGAGTTATTTGTAACACGAATGGTCACCCCGGTCTCACACACCGGAAGTCACTATAATTCGCAATAAATATGTTCAATCGCATCCAAATTGCAACTGAGCATGCATGTACACTATTTAGGAAGGTACCTGGGCGGTGAAGTTTTTATCTCCACCATCTTCAAAGTTTAGTTTAATTTTAAATCGCCCCGGTGTCAGACACCGTGCGCGACCACTGAAAGGTTAAAACATGTTTTCTATCCCACTTTTCAAAAACAAAAAAATGTGGCTGTAAAATGTATGCTTGGCTATAATATGATCTTCCTTTGCCTGGCCTATAATTTTCTATTTTTTATTCAAATGGAAAAATGTTTTTTCTTATTGTATTACCTCGGGTGATACAATTTTATTAATAAATTTTAATATTTGACAATTTTAAAGTTTTATTTAATAATGCCACATGCAAATTGGGTAAAACAAGTCTTGTAAAATCTAACAATTATAAATAAAAATGTAAACACCGTTAAGCTTGTTTTTGCAATAAAGTAAAATTTTACTATACTTATACATAAAAATAAACTAATTATTAAAAAAAACTAATATAAAAATTGATAAATTTAGAATAAATATTCCTACTTTCCCACATTTAGTTCTGGATTCAGTGCACAGGGCTATTGACCGGTTAAAAACATTATGTATTTATCGATAATAAATAAAATGCATAGGAGATGGCCTATTAATTTGTTACATTTTCACACTACCAACGTTAAAATACCATTAAAATACCAAATGTCGATATTAAACAACTAACAAATCGTAGCTGTTAACTGGACATAAACTTTTTGGTGCAAAACAAGTCGGTTTTTTAATTATCAGTCTTAAAACAAGACTTACTTATTTAAATGCTTGGAAAATTACATTATTTTCATAGTTTTAAAGTAAAAATAAATTAAGTGTGAAAAATGTTTTGTTAAGTTTTGTGTTTTTTTTCAGGGTCAAAATGGCTTTGAGGATCTTCGACGATACGTCAAGCAAGGCGGTGATTTCTGTAAGGAATTGGCCACAATATTACAGGAAAGGTAAGAAATAACACATCAAAAATCATTTATGTAAATTAAATATTATTAAAAATGTAAGTGTGTCCACGATTCGACGCTTGAATAGGTACTGGAAAAAGGACAACTTTGGTGATATGTTAAATAAATATTAGAAATATACCCCAACACCATTATTATTATTATTATATAGCAGTTAGATTTAGTTATACTTCGCTTCTGAAGTACTTTAAGCACTTTGTGTTTTGTTTTGGTGTTGGAAAATATTTCTAATATTTGCTTGAATAGGTGTAAAAGGCAATTATATTTGTAATTGAAATTTTATCTTGAGCCCTGCATGAGTAGAAATTAATTTGTGACAAATTCTTATTTTTGAAAAATCAAGTAAAAATGCTTGCAAATTTACAAAAAATTTGATTTTTGACATTAGTAAATATAATATAATATAATATAATATAATAACTTTCCTCTACAAGATATAAACAAATTTTAATTAAAATGTTGATCAGAATGACAAGCTAATTTTCAAGACTGAGTTTTTTTTATCTTTTACATCTATTCAAGCGTTGATTCTTGGACATACTGTGTATTTATAATAAATTTTAATTACAATTCTTTTACATCCGATCGTTAAAAAAAATGGGTCACGTTTGACATTGATTTCTGAAGCTATTTTTTATTCTATCTCTTTCCTTGACTTTTTTTGTACATATGTGCTTTAAGAAAACGAACCTAAGGTACAAAAAATAATTTTCAAAATTATAATTGTTGATGTTACGAATATTTAGCGTTGAACATTACTACAAAAACTCCTATTAATATGCCTGTTTTGTTTTCTAGGAGCGCGTTACATAATTAGATTTATTCCTTCTTTTTTCATTAATCATAAATTTTTATTTTTATATCAGGGTTTCCAGAATTTTAATCGGGAAAATTTAGTAGTCGAACTTGTATGTTTTAAAGCTTCGTTTTCGAGATATAAAGCTTTACTTTAGATTAAAATGTTTTTTTTTTGCCCAAATTAGTCTGAATTTTAGAGTCTTATATCGAATTTATTATTTTAAGATCTGAAGCCGAAAGTCAATACGCCAAAAGTTTATCGAAACTGAGCGCGAAGCTATCCAGAGCATGTCGAGACGGCGTTGGTGGACTAAACGAAGCTTGGAAAGCTGTAGCACAAGAATTGGAAACCCGCGCCGAAGGCCACAGACTTATGGGAGTTGCGTTACTAGAAGAAACTGCCAGGTAATTTTTTTAAACGTAAATTTTATATTGTATTGTTTTTTTTTATAAAATTACGCTCCAAATCCACTTTCGAGTCGACAATACCAAAGAGTAGGAAGTCAATACTTAATTAGTTAAAATATAAAATATTCTAATATATCCGAGTATATGGATTTTACATCAGTTTATTATTTTATTTGTTAGTTAATTAGTTTTTGGACAAATAAATTATTATTATTTGTGTTTATTGAAGTGAATAATTTTATTGTTATCTTTAATAAAACTATTTACTTTAAAGAACAGAACATTATTTAAGGAGCATCCGTGCAAAACCGGCTAAATCCATTTTATTCAGTTTATGTTTTTTTTGATTTCGCATCTTTGGGTTCATTTCTATCGACAAACAAGATAATTCTGTTCAAATCCAACTATATCCATGTTAAAATCACATTTAAAAGGTAGCTTTAGGAGCAAAACCGGCCAAATCCACGTTTTTATAGCAAACCCGGCTATATCCAATAAATAATAATGATGATGCGCATGTGGCTTGGATATGTCGATACTACTACTAAAATTTGTTCATGTTTGCACTAAATTTATTTGGTTAATATTTTTGAATAATAATGTTTTTTTTTCACATTTTATTCGTTTTTTATTCGCTTTTTGAGCAAAACCGGCTATATACAAAACATTTTTTGAAATTTTGGCCTTAATATAAAGTTTTTGAAAACGAAACTATGTCTTATATATCAAGTACTACAAAGCCCACAAAACTCAAGTTTGCTTTTTCTTTTATCTGTAAAGGCCAGGAAACCGAGAGTTTTTGCCATTTTCCTAACATTTTATTAAAGTGGATATAGCCGGTTTTGCACGGATGCTCCTCATTTACTATATCGTTTAATAAGTGCATAGCCGGACAAATCATTTTCACCAAGCAACGCCCAAGCGAACAAAGCCGCCATGATTTATCCACCAAATCTAGTACCCAACATACAACCTGTTGCCAAATTTGAAAAAAGGCTTGTCTAAAAAAACAATCATAAACGAATGCCGAAATTAATGAAAATGCCATTTTCTAGTAAATTCGTGATTCATCGCAAAAAATTGGTATTTTATCTAGGGTCATAAAACTGGGGTGACCTTTATAAAGTGTAATTTAGAACTTTTTGACATATTTAACATATTTTTGTCTTAACTATTTATTTTTTAAAGAAACACCCTATGCATTTTTACATATTTCGATTTAAAATAAAACTCTAGGTATGGTCAAATCATTTTTTGATTAAATTTTATTTCTATATCTAGAGTGCCGTGAATTGGCTTTTCTACTGGAGTAGTATGAGTATGAGTGAGTGAGTGAGTATAAGAGACGTATAACCAGCCCCATTTCCTCTTGACTCTCGAACCCCGTACAGGCCTATGTTTACTTACGCCGATTTTTGTTCTTACCCAGCAACTGCACGGCTTTACCCGTGTTTGCTGGGTGCGAATGTCGATTGCGTTCCGTACTGTCCCCTATTTGGGGCTCGAGAGCGAGAGGCGAATAGTTTTAATAGCCATTCTCGGGTTTGCCGAGCCTATGCTATACGCTCAGTGGGGTATGGAGGAGGGACGGGAGGTGGTTTTTGGGGGACAATTACGCCGACTTAAAACTAAGTATGACGCGGAATCCCCCTAGACCAGTCGATTAGTATTACTCCAAACATTTGGGATTACTATTTGGAGTTGGGGAGTTATTAGGCTGCAGAGGTGTATTTTCCCAGTCGAGTAAGTGTTATTTAGTGGTACCCGATGGTAGTCGGTTAAGTCTGTCGTTAGTAGTGTAATGATCTTCCGTTCAATTTGTCCCAAGCACGTTTTGTGGTAGAGTTTTGTCTTTTTTTCTTAAATTCCAAAATTAAGTATTGCATTTATTTATTAGTTAAACAAATGACAAGCGCATTTATTCTGTTATCTAATGTTTACAAATCCAGTAGAGTTTGATTATTATGCTTTTTTTTACTATGTTAGGGTTATGATTAATGTGTTAGTATATTCTGTGAGTCTAGTGTTTATTTTCAGTCTCGTTTGGGTTAGCATTACGCATTTGTTGTTGACAGATTTAATGCCCTATACGCCTGTGCCATTCTTAGGGATAAAAATATCTGCCGTGTTTAATTTGCAGATTTTGTATTAGGTCATGCATATTCTTAAGTAACTTATCAATTTTTTTTGCGGATGGCCACCTCCCCTCTTGTTTGACCTCCTTTGTTTTTCCAGTGAAAAGCGTCCAAAGACAGGTGGCACTTAACTCATTCATATCACTTAACACTTTACTCCTCATTGACCGTTACACCATTTTAGTTTGCACTCTATGAAAATTGTTTGTTTCACTCTAATTGGTTTGCACTTTTTAAAAATTATTGTTGGTTTTAATCTTTAAACTTTTACGTTTTAAGAGCTTACACTGACGCGTGGTGCCTTCTCAAGCGTTGGAACCTAACTGGCTTTTCTACTGGAGTAGTCTGGAAAAAATACAATTTATATTAAAATTTTATTATTATTATTTTAATTTTGTATATTGTTTAAAATCCAAGAGACAATTTGGCGTACAGGATATATCACAAATTTATTAATTGGTTTAATTAAAATATCAAACAAACATGTGAAACTGTATTAATACATAATTATGTCAGCCAGGCCCGGATCTACAAAATTTCCATAGGGGGGGCAAAGAATCAAGTTGCTGCCTCTGTTTTTTTTCTACCTAACAATAATAAAAAAAATCTCTTATCAAATATATATACTACATCTTCAAAAATTATTGCTTGTGTAAGATTGACTGATAAAAAAGTTTTCCAGACAATATTTCCTGACTCATGGAAGAACGTATATAATTATTAATTTTTATTTACTGAAACTTCTATCACAACTTGCAGTGGCCCGCTGCAAGTGGAGAGCTTGCTAGCAAACTCATGGTTGTAAAGACAAGTGATTAACGAAAAAGGAAGTTTAATTTGGCTATAAAATTGTAAAACCCACAATCCATGTGTGGATTGTGGTAAAACCTATTAAAAAATCATTGAAAAATATTAATTGGCAAATATGTTTTGAAAAATGGCAAATGCACCTCGATTATGATTTTGTTAAATTGCAATAAATTTGTTTGTCTCAAGGAAACTTGATATATGAATAAAGATTATATAGTTAAATAAAAAACAATAACTAAATTGATTTTTTCGGGGATTTACCGAAATGCGGAGATAATTCGATGGTAAATATGTAATTGCCGCGGAAATTCGTCATTATCGTGAAATGCATTTTTTCGTCAAAATTTAATAATTGCTAATTATAAAAAAACGTAGAAATGTATTAATAATTGATAATTTAATTAAGGGTTGTTATTTTCTTAACAATTAAAAAAAATATTTAGTTTTATAAAATTAAATTATTAAAAATTGTTATTTAAAGTTTTAGGTAAAATATACAACAGCTTTACGAATTTAGAAATCTTCTTCAAATTCAAAACTTATAATAAGTTGCAGGGAAGTTTTGAAATGTTGTTTGCTTATTAATTCCAGCTAATTTAAAAACATATACGAGGAGTGTTCAGAAAATATCGGCAATTTTCGTTTTTTAAAACAAATATTTATTTATTCGTCTACATTAATGTTGTCGCCTTCAAAATAGTCTCCATTGGATATTATGCACATGTGCCAGCTCTTCTTCCAATACTCGAAACACTTCTAAAACTCGATCTTTGGGATAGCCTTTAGTTCTTTCAGCGATGCGCTTTTAATGTCATATATGCTTGCAAAACGACGGCTCTTTATCTTTGGAAATAGGAAAAAGTCAGACAGAGGCATGTCTGGCGAATATGGAGGCTGGGGCATCATTACAGTATTGTTTTTGGCCAAAAATTTTGTTCAAAATTTAACAATTTTAGAACAAATTTTCCTGCCACGTGTTTCATACCAAAAACATTCTAAAAAATTTCATGGGATGAGCCAATTGATATACCAACATCATCAGCGACTTCTCTGATGGTTTATAACCATTTCTTTCACTTTTTCCATGTTTTTATCGGTTGTTAATGTGCTAGTGCGTTCGCGGCGTTCGTCATCTTCAACGTCTTCACGGCCATCTTGGAAACTCTTATACCAATTGTAAACTCTTGTTTTACTTATAGCAGACTTATTATAGGCCTTTGTTAACATTTTACAGAATTTATTTCATTTTTTAAGCAAAATTGGATACAAATTCTTTGATCCATTTCTTTTAACGAACGAAAAATCGCCGAGCTCATAAAACACGTCTAACCTTAGCGGCTGCCACAGACAAAGTAAACAATGAAAACAGCTAAAGTTATTATCATACTTCGGGGGCATGTATACTAGGGTGGGTCAAAAAAGTCGACTATTTTTATTTTGACTTCTGCCACTGAAAAATCGGTTTCTGGGCACCTTCAAAACATGCTTAGCAACGATGAGCTCTTAACTTTGATGGGAAAATCCGCCTCATTACAGTTTTGCATATTTTTCTTAGTCCCCTACAAAAAAATTCATATCTCATCATTCGTTAATCATACAGCAAAACTCTAAAGAAGTTATTTGTAGAAAATTAAATGTTCTACAAAAAAGATCTCCTATACTTTTTTGATCAATCTAACTATTAAAGAGATATTCAAGGTCAAAGATTGAAGAATTTTAAGAAAGATAACTTTTCTGTTTTGAATTTTGTAACTTACTGAAAAAAAATTATCGACAATTGAGATTTTACTATGTCTATCGGAAATTGAACGCTCTACAAAAAAGGTCTCCTAGGATTTATCGATTACTCTAACCAATGAAAAGATATTCGCATTGGAAAGTCAGTGCATACTGCTATTCATATGCGAATATCTTTTGATTGGTTAGAGTAATCGATAAATCCTAAGAGACCTTTTTTGTAGAGCGTTCAATTTCCGATAGACATAGTAAAATCTCAATTGTCGATAATTTTTTTTCAGTAAGTTAAATAATTCAAAACAGAAAAGTTATCTTTCTTAAAATTCTTCAATCTTTGACCTTGAATATCTCTTTAATTGTTAGATTGATCAAAAAAGTATAGGAGATCTTTTTTGTAGAACATTTAATTTTCTACAAATAACTCCTTTAGAGTTTTGCTGTATGATTAACGAATGATGAGATATGAATAATTTTTTGTAGGGGACTAAGAAAAATATGCAAAACTGTAATGAGGCGGATCTTCCCATCAAAGTTAAGAGCTCATCGTTGCTAAGCATGTTTTGAAGGTGCCCAGAAACCGATTTTTCAGTGGCAGAAGTCAAAATAAAAATATTCGATTTTTTTGACCCACCCTAATGTATACCAACATAATAAAGGACATTTTATGACAACCGGACCCTCCGAACCCGCGAAATTTAACAATTCCCGTTATTTTCTGAACACATCTCGTATTTACGTTAAAAGAGGATTTTCTATTTATTTAATTTAATGTAATGATATTAATTTTTTTTATTAAAAAAAAAAACAAATAATTTTTTTGTAACATAAAATATTTCCTATTTTAATTTTAAGCGTATGTCTGCTACCCGCTAAATAAATATTTGTAAATATTTACATATTATGTAAACATATTATGTAAATATTTATTTATTATGTGTTGGCCAGTCATATTTTTTATAATTTTGTAATGCTATTAAAACTTTAATATTTAGCAGGCTAATTGTTAAAAAACTAACATCGAAGCAGTTTTATTGTAATATGCTTATTTTCCTTTATAGACCTTTACGAACACTATCAGAAAGCCAACACAGAGTACGAAAGCAATCAGAGGCAGCTGTGGAGAAAGCTGGAAGGCTGTTGTCTGATTGGCGCGCAGCTGAAGCAAAAAGCAAGAAGCAAAGTCACACATGCGCAAGAGAGAACGAAAAGCTGCAAGACTCAGCGCTACAAGACACTTCTAGGTATGGTAAAATAACGTACGTATCATCTTTTTGATTGTACGATTTTTGTTTTGTTTTTGGTTGTATTAAAATAATAACTCGCTGTCTGCAAAAACATAAAATCTCAATTTTTGTTTAAATTTAAATTTAATTTTAGTAAGTTAATTAGTTAAGTAAGTTAATTACATAAACACTTAAGAACACACATCTGTAATACAGATTCTGTATATTTGCAGATAAAGCGGTTTGATATTTTAATATAAATTTTGGTTGTTTTGCAAAATTTTTTGTATCTCTAAAATATTGATCTAAAATTATATTAGTTGAAATAAATTTCGATCTGCCCATTAAAAAACATGACTTATTTAATGAATAAACAATATTATTTAAAGTACATAGGTACATAAATAGTTATGTAATTATTTTGGCAAGGTTGCATTTTGTATCAATTTATAAAACTATTTTTGTATCTAAATACATTTAATTATAATAAATGGCAAAAAATAAAATTTAAATCAACCATTAAAATTTGCAGTCAACTTCATAATCTAGCTCGTATATAATTTTTTGGCATTGAATTTGAAAAGTCTGTTCTCAGCCATTCCGGAGAATTTGAAACTAAGGAGCACAATTTAAAATTGTTTATATGCAATACCTTTAATATGAAATATTGTGCACGTAGTCTAAATTTTACATATCTAATATAAAAATAATATATTTTCCATTATTAGGCCCTTAAAACAATATTTTACTTAATGCGAACGCATCCTAACAAAATGTATCAAAACATAAGTTATTTAGCAGGCTATTGTTCAGTGATTATGTCATTTATTATACAATTGTCATTATTTTATTTCATTAAAATATTAATTATCAGAGTGTTTGGTGACGATTTTGTAAATCAAAATGAGTAAGTAGTATTTTTTTATTAACTTTATTTATTTTATGTTGTTAGTGTAGCGTCCGTCATCAAAAAGATGTAATACTTAATATTTCTTAATGAAGATAAATAATTTTTGACTAAATTATTTATTTTTAAAAACACACATTTTGCCTCTTGTTAGTATATTAAGCTTTTTTTGATATCTCAAGAATCTATCTTTTTTTTTAATTAAACTTTTTTGTAGCGTCCGTAAGCAAAAAATGTTTAAGTAATATTTTTTTAGATTTTTCATTTATCTTGTTTTACGGTTAAATTAGACTAAATTAAAAACACACAAATGCTCATTCTAACCTTGTTTAAAGATTTTTCGAGAGATTTTTATACCGGTGGAATATTTTTTACAGATCAAAAGGAGAAGCGCATTAAACAAAACAGAATTGCCGCGCAACGTTATCGAGAAAAAAATAAAAGTGACGAAATTACAAGAATTGCACTTTTAAAAAAAGATGCCGAAAATAAAAAAGTTGAAAGAGTAAAGAAAAAAGAAAAGTTGCAATTTGAAAAAAAGTTACTGAAAGAATGAGGCGTTACATCAAACATTAAACAAATGAGACAAAATATTGAGCAGTCTTATAGTCCTTACAGATGTCCTCAAACGTTGGGTAAAGCTTCAAAAAAAGTTAAAAATAATATTATGTTACCAGGAAGTCCCCGTAAAAGAAAAATTGTAGTGCAGAAGTTAGCTTTACAAACTATCCCCGAAAAGTTGCGTGACGAGAAGCCCACAATAATTCATGGACTTACTACATCTACTGAAGACTGTTACGAATCGTGTGTTGTATTTAAGTAGTGGCATATTTTACTGTTAAATGTAGAATTTATTTGTTTAGTGAAGTTTTTGGTTGTTTATTTGAATTAAATTGAAAAATAAAAGATTAGCAATTTGGTGGAACTTTTGTAGCGTCCGTCATGTAGCGTCCATCATCACATATTTCATGTACTTATATATTATCTATTAAACTAAATACAAAATAAAAATAAAAAATATTTATCTAGTCCAATGCTTAATATATTATAATAAAGTTTAAATTTAATCCCATATCAATTTGCTAATATTCAGGTGAAACAAAATAAATTTATTCCACTTCCATTTTTTGTAGCGTCCGTCATCTAAGTTTAAAAAGTAAAATCTTGGAATCCCTAAATGTCACATAATTATTTTATATGTTATTTTTTTTTACCTCATCTCCACTTTCAATTTTTAATATTAGCTTTAAAATCAGTTTTAGTTTTTGGGCATTTTTTTTTAAATATTTGACAAGATTTTGGTCAAATGGTAGCGTCCGTCATCATGAAATGGCTGTTCTTTTTTAAAAATTGTAAAATTAAGTTGAAACAATTTTTTCAATATTCCCAGGCAGTTTCGTGGCCACGTTCAAAATACGGTTACAACTAAGACTTATTATGGTGTAAAAAAGTAGTCTGCTTATTTCATTGTGACACTTTGGAAATATGGTGAATATTTACTGAATATCATCATATCGCACATGGGCGACAACAGTGTCATAAGTAGTAAAACACTAAGATTCTGCATGAGCGAGTTAAAAATTAGATTTTATAAAAAATTTTGTATAAGAGCTATTTGTAGCTATTTGTAGATATGTCTGTGTTTCCGAAGAAGGTGTGCATCAATTTTGGAGATATGTCTGTGTTGCTGAAAATATGTACATGAATTTTGCAGATATGTATGCATTGCAAAAAATATGTTTAACACTTTTTTAATTATTCATTCTTTTATTGCTGATTATGAATATGAGGAACGTATGACTGGCCCCATTGGCAACTGCTTACACTGATTTCCCAGGGTTATTTTACCCCCTTTCAGATCTCCTATAGGGTATACGTATACGTATATAATATATATCTATCGGATTCAAAATTTTCTCCATATTTCAAATATACATAAATATACAGGGTGTTTCTTTGGAAAAACGTTGACCAAAAAAGTTGACCAATTTCCGACTAAACAGAAAGTTTATTTTTTATTGCAAGGCGCCGGCCATTTTGTAGTGAAATAACTTAATTTCTGCATTTTGGATGTCAGATTTGGATTCAGTGAACCCAAATACCCCGTTTACAGAGAAAATTTATAATTTAGGTTTTGTCTAGCTAGATAATTAATTTAACACACTGTGCAGTGGCGGGATACGTATACATACATATATATATATATATATTATATATATGTTATCTTCACTTAATTAAAATTTACTTTTTAAAAAAAGATTTTTATTTATTACAATACATTAAAGTTCTAGTAAGCTTAGTTAAAATATAATGAATTAATTTTTGTGTTACATTTTGTTTTTATACTAAATATTGTTTTGCTGACTCCGTGGGATCGCCGCTTCTTGGTGTATCTCTTGGTAATATGAGAAATATGGAATGTTGGTGTTATCTTTGTACGTGCTGATAAGGTGTTTGTGGATGATATAACAGCTCCCCCTTATAAAGAAAAGTCGATGCTATAGCATTGACTTTTATTGAGATAGTTTTTCTGAAAGGTTGATTTCTTCGATTGGTTCTCCTAGGTGAAAGGAGGGACGTCTTCTTGGAAGCAGATGTCTCCAGGGTTGCTGGGCGTTTTCTGGTAGCCTTGGTCTTGGTGCTGGAGGAGAGTCATCGTTGAAGTTGGTTACAATAACGGGAGTACGCCTTTTTGGTTTGAATTTATAGAGGCTGTACATTATAATTAGTATAGCAATGAGTACAAAGGTAATAATTGTAGACCAGGAGATAGATTTTGTAATAAATGGTTCATTTATTAGTTTGTCCAATTCTTCGGAATATTGAGTTAGCTTGTGATGAGCGATGTTTAAGTCTTCGGTATTTATCTTGTTTAACTTTAATGGCTTTAATGTAGGAAGTTTTTCTTTTCGTGGAAGGTTTTTACAACAGTCAAATGGAACTTGTACGGGGTGACTTCTATATGTTACGTTTAGTAATTCTTCCAGTTGAAGTTTTGATTGGATTCGTGTATTTCCAATAAAAGCACTGCATCGGGAATTTAACTGAATTAGTGAAGTAGTTTTAATAGTAGCTGTCTGTGTGTTTTGGTCGTCACATTTGATGGTAACTGGTAGGTCTTCGGATACAGAAACAAGCCATTGATTTTTGTTAATTTCATTTACGTTGTAGTCTTCAGCCAGGATTTTTGAAGTTATGCAATTGGTGGGTAATTTCTTTTGAGCTTTGAATAGTTGAGCTTCGCAAATAGCGTTGTCGTCAATTGGATATGGCAGCATATTGAAACAAATTTGTTGAGTGGAAGAAAGTGTTTTACATTTTTCTAATTGCAAGTCTTGAATTGGTAAGTAAAATGTTGAATCATCATCTCTCGCGATATATTTTATTGTTGTTGGTAAAATGTGAAGGAGACCTGTTCGATTATCTAATAGTGGTATTGGGTAAAGACGATAAAGGGTGTAGGTCTCTGGATGTGTAAGAGGGATGTTTAAGACAAAAACAATTCTGGAATCAATTTGGAATGCTTTTAAATCAATTATATCTAAATATTTTGCAATGTTTAATGGTGATATTTCTATAGGTAGATTATTTCTATTTAGTGACCGGGAAATTTTACTAAGTGATTTCATTAAATCTGAAGGTGTTATTATTGTATTATGAAGTATTTTCAATCGAGCAAATGAGATGGAGTCCAAAATATCATCTAGAGTGTCCTTTATAAAAATATAACTTTCCATTAGTGACTCGCATATGTCTAAGAGTTTGACTTGTGATTCGTATAGCGAAATTTCGGTATCAAAATTGTATAGTTCGTTTTGTATGGTGCCAATGTTTTTGTTAAACGTCTGTTCGTCAATTTGTAGGTTTTGTATGGTATTATTAAAGTTCTTGATGACTGAAGTTGTGACTGATATTTGATTTTTTATAAGATTTTCTATCTGATTTTCATCGCGTGATATTTTGTTTATGCAATTATTTAAATATTCTCCATCACTGGCATCAAGATTGCCTGTTATGGATTTCCAAATAGTACCTATGCCGTTTAATAAACCTCGCTTTGGTCTTTGTGAATATTTTTGTGTTCCCGAAAATATTTCTTGATATTTTAAATTGATTGAGTCGGATA